TGTTCCCAAAATCTCAGTGATCTTTTCTTTCTTTGGTTGCTGCCATACTGGAATCCCAGCTTGGAACCCCAGATTCCTCAGATGCCAACACTGTGAACACTGTTGGATTTAATCATTCCAACAGGAAACAGGAGCAAGTAACTCCTATTATTCTTGCTGGGAAGTGTATATAGGATCCAAAATCCACTACCCTCTTATCTCTTTCTGGCATCCATCATGTCCAGACTTCAGTTTCATCAGTATTGGTACTTTTCCTCCCCATAAATACTATGCCTTTACTACTTGCAGAATGCCTTTCATTCCAATAAAACCCATTGTTTTTTCCCAATGGCAACTTGGATGTTGCGTCTGTAGGGTAGATATCTGGCTGTATTACACTGCGCAATTTCCAAATGGAGCATAGAAGTAACTTGAAGCATTTGATATTAAAGATATACAGACTTTTTATATGTCTTATGCTTGCCTGTGACGCTTCTGCATGCCTCCACAATGTTCCAGCTGCTCGGCGGAGCATTGCGCAGGTGCCGTACGCTCTGTGGGCGGAAGCACCAAAAGCTTAAGGCACAGGTAAGGAGCGAGGACGGGTGGATGGACCCTCTGGAGCACCGTACCGGAACGGTATCCGGTGCTCTGGGCTGGCTCCGGTATGCCCGTACTGGAGCGTACCGCCTGAAACTCACCACTGAAGTGAGTATAAAAATAGTGGCAATCCAAAAGTGTTCATAATTACATTATTGATATTGCTTTTTATGCTAAACTAGCTGACAACCCAGCATAGCCTGGGTATGTATTTATCTTGATCCTATATTAGAGGGAGCCCCCTTGTGGAATATTGTAAAGCCATTACCATGGCAACTCCACTGTGCTGTACAGTAGAAGCCATTGTAAGGCACAGCAGGTTGTTACTTAACAGAATTTGAATCCAAAATGCACACTATCACTCTCAAAAGCACTGTGACTTTATACTATATATATAATTCAGTCCTTTTCATTTTAGTGGCCCAGACATTCCACACTCTCCAACCGAGAGTGTTAAGGGTGTCTTACCCCCCACAGTATTTTTTTCCCCAGAGTCATCTGTGTACCAAGTTTGATTGAAATTGTTCAAGGCGTTCCAGAGTTATGCTGGAACACACAACACAACACAACACATACACACACACAGCCATTTAGATAGATAATAGATAGATAGATAGATAGATAGATAGATAGATAGATAGATAGATAGATAGATAGATAGATAGATAGAATTTTTTGCTGATAAATAAATGAAGGGAGGTTATATAGATCTATTTCAAGCTATTTAGGTCTCATCAGCTAGCCATACCCTTACTGGGATTTGACTTTTGCTATTTCACATGTTAGGCAATTATAATAACCTCTGAGCCACAAGCTCTCCTCCCTTATCAGCTGAGCCAGGGGAATGATTAAATGTTTTGTCAAGGTACCTGGTATGTCCCAAATTTGCAGTAAGAGAGAGAGAGAGAGGGAGGGAGGGGGAGGGAGGGAGGGAGAGAGAGAGAGAGGGAGAGAGGGAGAGGGAGAGAGAGATTGCTTCCTTTTGGCTTCTTCTGCAGCCTGGTCCCATTTCCTAAATCAACCCCAGATTATGGGGGTGAATAGGGCTTGTAAAAAATGACTTCGTGAAAAGCAAATTCCTCCCTTGTCCCCAGTACCATTGAGAAAAATCTCTGTACCGTTTATGAATTGTGGGACAAAATTAAAACCTAATTCTTCATATACATTCAAATGTAGAAGTGCCAAATTGTAAAAAAAAAAAAAAGATATTTATTTAAATGCCACAAGATTAAGGAAAAAAAAACAATTGCACCTTTGGTCCTGGAAGCCCTTCTCCTTCTGATCCTCGCTCTCCCTGAATACCTTGGGGTCCTTGAGTGCCCTGTAAAATATGTTTTAAAAGCAATTCAGAAAACTATGAAAATCAACCGCAGATCAGCCAAAATGTGGATTTTATTTATCTCTGTGGTTGGAGTCTAGTTTCAACCCGCCACAGATTACAAGCATCAAGATGAATTCACACACACACACACACACAAAAATGAATTCACAAACTGTGAATTCACAAACTTGAACTATGAACTGCAGCAACAGGATATATCAAACCACGGTAATTCCATGTTTTCCATGACAACACCCAATAGGCATCTTAACAACGTGAGGACCCACCAGCAATAATCCTTCAATACAATGAAAACTGAGCTCAGCTTCAGTCTTATTAGATCACACCAAGGTGTGCTTGAAGTTTCCAACACTCGTAATTTGTAACATTCTTAGAAAAGATTTCCACCTCAGTGTTTATTGAAGAGTTCTAACACATTTATAAGCATCATCATAAGTTTGAATGGTCAGTACATGAAAGGTCAAGAGTCAAGAACTAAATATAAATGGAAGACATTATAATTCTTCCATTTACATTACTATATAAATGGAAGACATTCAACTATGCTCTTCATTTTACACCAGATTTGAGTGTTGCATGTTATTTTCAGAAAATCTTATTTTCATATTGTTTTCAACTCTTCCCTTCCTAAAATTTCCTGAGGTTTAATACATACCGGTAAACCTGGTTCCCCGATACCGGGTGGGCCAGGCGGGCCTGGTCTGCCTGTCAAGCCAATGTCTCCCTTCAAAAACAGAAATGTTATATTTGAATCGAAGAAAATACAGTTCATTACGTAAACATAGTATTCTTATTTTTGTTGTAATCTCCTTGGGAGTGTGAGAAGGAATTGAAACAAATATTATGCCAGGACTTCATGCATGGCAATCAAATGATACTAATAAAATAATTCATAATCATTTACATTTGTACTACCTGAAAAAACTTTTAGAAACTAGATACTTTCGGATATATATCAGTGGTGCAATTCAACTGGTTCTATCCGGGCGAACTGGTAGCGGTAGCGGCGGGAGGCTCCACCCACCCACCCGGATGTCATCATGTCCCATTTGTGACACTCTGTGAATGCGCGGAAAGTCCTGCGTATGTACGGAGGTGGCACATGGCTCACATTTGCTAAGGTAAGTTGATTTCACCCTTGATATATACTGTATTGTGTAGTGAGCTTTAGTAGGCAAGAAGCAGACCAGCATAGATACAAAAGCATTTATTGACTCAAAACTGGCACTGAGGAACTGCAGACAAATCCCTGTAATTTATACCCTGGGCCCACAAGGCCTCAACCAATCATAATCCTTGAAAAAGCCCGCCCAAATATGAATATTCTACATTTCCCTCCAAAACAGTTGGAGTTAACAGTTAGGATAATCTAAAGGTTAGTTTCACTTTAGTAGGGCTTAAGACAACTATATNTTGCTTCCAAAAGATTGCTTCCTTTTGGCTTCTTCTGCAGCCTGAGAGTATCTGCTGCAGGATTTTAAAATGTGGTCCTTCATCCAGGCCAGTTCAGAGATCTATAGACTGACCCTACAGCTGAGCCCTTTTTCCCTTCCTTCCTGGCCTTTTCTTGTCGACCATCAAAAGATGTCCACTCGGGGGAGTGGAGCAGGCTTTTCTCGGGCTATAACCCCGTAAACAGGCACCGAATTTCAATTTCGCTGGATGCCAGACCTGCAGAAGTCGGTGACATTCCCATTCTTCGCTCGGTTCGGGATTTCCCCTCCCGTTCCTCCCTCGGCCTTTCCCCAAATTGGAGCCCTCGAACAATTCCCAAAGCCCGGCCAAACGCGGGTCCTGGGGACTAGGGTCATGGAACTGTAGTCCAGAGCATCTGGAGGACGGTTCAGGCTTGCGCTAAACAAGACAAAAGCCCGGGTCCTCTCCGCTGATGTCCGGAGCAGAAGCGGACTTTGGGGGGGGGGGGGGGGCTTACCTTGGCAGCTCCCTTTTAATAGGCAGGCAACGAGTAAGAGGAGCAGTTTGCAAGCAGCTGCCCGTGCCCCGTCCATGCGCTGCTGCGCTCCCATCTGAGATGCTCCGATCTCCCGGCACTTTTGCCGGGCTGACCTCTGCTGAGGAAAAGCGCGCTTCTCTCTTAGTTTCCCCCCCTCTCCTCCTTCCTGGTCCCGCTAGTTGCAGAAGTAAGGAGTGCTCGTCAGCTGAAACATCGCGTCTTCCCTAACTCTCCCACCCTCCAGACATTGCATAAAGCTCTTTATACCCGCCGGCCCCGGAACTAGCATGAAACATTGTTCCAAGCCCTTGTAGATGGGGCGGGAGTTGCCACTCCTTCTACACTTTGCAAGGAGCGGGGCGGTTGGGGGGGGGGGAGGATACTTGCAAACAAAACTTTAAACCACTTCGTGCCGCACGGCTGGCTGCCTTTGGAGAGGAGCTGAACAAGCTTAAAAAATCTGAATGCCGGGAGGTTTGATTTAAAAGAAATCGTTACTGTAAAAAGTTGGAATCGGTGGGCATGTTTAGAATTGATGTGTGTTATTTCAAGGCAAGGGCCAAGTTCCCACTTTTAGAAGAGTTTTTAGGAAAGTTTTTTTTAAAGGCCTCCTTGTTCAGCCTTAACCTGTAGGCTACTACATAGATATTGATTTTTTTTTAAAAAAAAAAAACTTGGACTGGATAAATACTTTATCCAAAGTGATGTGCTTGAAATGTTTGAATATGTTTAAGTCCAATAGCATGTGGGGACATAGCATGTGTATAGCATAAATATTTATTACTGTCAAAGACCAGCAATACACATTACATTTTACACTATATTAAAAAGTACTGACATTAAAAAATAATTAAAAAGTATTGACATTAAAAGTAGATAATAACGTACATGTTCTCAAATTGTTCAGGTCACTCCCTGGTTTACATGAGTGAAAAGCAGATAAGTATAGGAGTAAATACAATGGTCCAGAAATTGTTAGAGATATGTCCAAATAATTGGTACAAGATGACAACTATACTTCTGTAACCAATTTTTTTCTTGGATCTAGCATGTGAATACAAATGCCTGCAAGAGGAAACTCTTGCAGTTAAAAAAATATTCACACATGCTTGCTTACACAATTCTAGCTCTATTATTCATGTCTGTCCCCTGCAACATAATATTTGTACCACTTCTCCCCTGCCCTCCAAACTTGATAAAATCTTGGTTCTTTCCTGGACAAACGAAATTATTAGTACAAACACCTCAGGGGAGAGTAACTAAACAAAGAATTGAATAGCATACAATAATTAATTAAATGTTTATAATACTCTGTGTTAAATAGTTACTTTCCTGTGTTTAGATCTGTGGTGGGCAAAACAAAAATGAGATTTAATGACAATTCTAGGTGATTTGAAGAATAATTCCCAATTATATAACAGTAGTAGTAACATAATGAACATTTAAATCCTGGTGAACATTTGAAATTAAGAAAGATGGAAATACAGTATATATAGGAGAAGGGGAATCAGAAGTGGGTTGCTTCCGGTTCAGCCCGGTTCAGGCAAACCAGTAGTAGTGGTGGTGAGAGGCTACGCCCACACTTACCCGGATGCTTCTGCGCATGCGCAGAAGCATCACAAGCAAGCGAGCGCGTACAAGCGAACCGGTAGTAAAAAAAATGGAAACCCACCATTAATTGGAATGTAGTAAGGAAGGAGAACAAGCACCATTTAGCTTTGATACCTAGATTTCTGGTATCACATTCTGATACCTGGTTCCACATTTCTTCAACTAGGTATCTCTCTTATACCAGGCATCAAGCCTGCCACTCCTGATTGAAGTGACACGTATTTTGCCCGGGGCAGAACAGTTTCCATTGGCTAATTGGATTCAAAATAGAATCTCTCAACATCAGTATTGTCCTTTTTTTCCCCTAGAGGAATCTCATAGAAATAATCAATGGCGCAAAAGATTGTCCAAACAAATGCAGCCCCACAGCCCATTTTTCATAAGTAAAATTGAGCAATTTAAAATGCTGGGTATTACCTCAGAAGAAAATAGAAATATAACATGGGGGAGAAATAGTATTTTAAATATCCCCATTGTTGATTCCCATTGCATTCAAAAATACAATAGAATCACTGGTATTTCCAGATATTCTAGATCCAAATACTCACTATAGAAATTAAAAAAAATTGCAATGACTAACATTATTCAAGTTCTGTGAATGCTCTATGCTGAAGAGTTTTCAACATAACTTTTCTCCCACTGTCAAGTTATAAAGTTCAGAACACCAAAGAAAACCGAATGATAGGAAGTTCAGATTTGACTGGAAGAGCTTCAATACTTCATTGCAGAGAACAGAATTAAGGTTTGTCATTTTTGGTAATAATTATGGTGAGTCTGTGCTCGCTCCAGGAACAGAAGAGGACAATGCACCCTGGTTTCTACTGTATATATATGATCACTTTATAACCTAATTAAAAGGTTGGGAGTAGAAGTTATATCCTATCTACTTTTTGTTTTCTCCTATCACAGTGTTTCTCAACCTTGGCCACTTGAAGATGTCTGGACTTCAACTCCCAGAATTCCCCAGCCAGCATTCACAGTGAAGGCTGGCTGGGGAATTCTGGGAGTTGAAGTCCAGACATCTTCAAGTAGCCAAGTTTGAGAAACACTGTCCTATCATATAGTTTTGGAGGGCGGTTGGTGTCTTTTGTTAATAAGCAAAGGGTGGAGCAATGCACAGGAAGGGGTTTATGGCAATTTGCCACGGCCAACATGCCATGACCAACATGCCAACCACCAACTCACCATGGCTAACTCACCACAGCCAACTTGCCATGGCCAATTTGCTACAGAACAACTTGCCATGGCCATCTCGCCATGGGACAACACGCTGCGGTTACAAGAGTTACACTGATATCAAATAAATTGTGAAGTAGAATCATTAAAGAAAGAATGCAAAAGAGGAACAGAGTAAAATGTGAATGGAAAAAAATAAAATGTTTTTATTTATTGTAAATAATTAAATAGAATTGTTACATTGTCGTGCAGCGAGTTGGCCGTGATAAGTTGGCTGCAATGAGTTGCCCATGGTGAGTTGGCTGTAGCAAGTTGGCTGTGGCAATTTGTCCCATTCCTCATAGGAACACCCTATTGCCAAGCAGAAGTGCAAGAGAAATATAATTATTACAACTTCAGGGAAGTGTTAAATAGCCAAATTATTGCACCCCATTCAATGCCTTTGGGTCACAACTAGCATTGTCCGGACCTCTCCATTTTTAAGATGCAGAACTTTTTACTTGGTGAAATTGGTCTCATTATTTTGAGATGCCATAAGATATGAAACTATTATCTTAGTTGCTCTGTCACAAATGAATTCACACATATAAAATAGCCACTCCAGTATCTACACAACACACACAATAAATATATGCATCCGAAATTGCAGCTTTTATTCCAAGTATTATTCCAATAGTGTTAATTGTTTCTATAATTATATATTTTAATATAAAATACTTTCAGCATTGCCATTTTAACCCGGTCTACCATGCTAGTTTCTTGTGGAGGTGAGGGAAACATCTGCAGTCCTGAGCTCTTCAGAGAAAAGACAGGCTATAAATGCAAAAGACAAAAACCACATTTTAATGGGTGAGAAGTCAAATCCAAATGTATAATATTTTATTGTGTAGCTTCAATATACAGCTTTTCTAATGAGCTATCATGTAAGAAAGTTTGCAAGCTGCTGGAGGTTTTTTTTTAATGCCTAGAACTACAAATTCTTGAGTTACATTTCTGCTTGCATTGCCAAAATAAAATGCATGATTTCACACCAAGGTAGTAGATGCTTCTCTCAACAGGTATAAATTTGAGGAGTACAGATATTATACTCTGCATTGAAAGAGTCTTACGTACAAAGGAAGGCAAAATTATATCTATGGTATTTGAAAGTAAGGCAGAACTGTTGATTGTGTACTAGGAGACAAACATTTCAGCCCCTCCACTTTTATTCCTCCCCACCCCTTACTAGATCACTCAAGGATTCTAATCTCCAAAATATTTCCATTAAGGCAAGGAGGAGGAAAAAGAAGAAGGAAAAAAGCACAAGTGTCTGCAGGTTTGGTAAGGTTGTGATTTATGCAGGTTCAGGGCTGCTTGGGGTATGGTACGACACAGCACCGGGGTCAAGCCACAAGAAACTCTGGGGGCAGATCAGAATATTCAATGAGCTTCCTGGCACCTTTGAATCACAAAGAAGGGATAAGATCTCTCCATCACAAGATCCAGAGCCCTGGAGATTGGAGGAGGGGGGGGAGGAAGAGAAGAGGCGGGAGGGAGGGAGGGAACAGCTTTTCCAGGCTCTCGGCTGTCTGCCTGCCTGCCTCTATGCGCTGTGGGCGAACGGGGCTTGAAACATTCCTTTCTGCACGGAAGGGCTTTTCCTATTGTTGTTTGCTTTGTGGTGCAGTGGAATTCTTGTCGTGGTTTCACAGCAAGTCCCAGGCAGCAAGCTGGCCAAATGAAACCAGCTGCTCTTGGAGAAGAAGGGATTGGAAAGGGGGAGGGAGCGGTGGAGGGAGGTCTCCCTTTTTTAATCCCAAGCAAAAGGAAAGGGGTAGGAATCTAGGGAAAGCTGCTGATCTCCATCGCCCCAATAGAAAACAGAGCCACTGTTGCTTATTGGCTGCTTACACTAAGGCTGCAAGCGAGCAAGCATGGCCAGCTGAGGCCTAGACACAATACTGCAGCTACCCATTTCACTCAAGCAGCCGGGTCCCAAAGAAAGCTGGAAGATTTGCAGTCAGGGAACCAGAAGGTCTGAAGGTGCAGTGAAGGGGGGGGGGAATTATCAGCATCTTGTTAATAGCTTAGCTTGACCTCTACAGAATTGTTGCCAGTCAGTCTTGGAAGGACGCTAGAGCTTCTATGGAATACCACTTTCCAAATGGGGAATATTGCTTATTTTGAACTCAGTTTTCCTATGATGCCTGAATAGTTTCTTTTACAAATCTAAAAAAAAAACCATTTTGGAGTGAATTCCACAATGATACATTGAAAGTGACATCAAATAATGGCACAATATTAACCCTTTTTGACTTTTCA